TGGGGCCACAGCGAGAAGGGCTCTGAAAACACAGGAGGGACCTGGCTTCGCTCTGAGCCCTAGGCGGGTGTGAGCCGTCCCTGGGCCGTGTGGCCGGCGACCTGAGAGGTCCTTCCCAGCCGGACAGTGACCAGGGCTGCATCAAACACTGAGCAACTTCCCTCACAGCATTAAGGTCTGGCAGGAACGCGTGTGCGGTGGGGTGGGGTTCGGGCTGAGATACCCACTTTTCTGGACCACTGATGTGTCTGGACAGATAACCTCTAAAGTACCACCTAACCCAAGACCTGCGAACGTCTCGGAGTGCCCAGCTTGGGGGATTTCCGCCCTGCAGCTTTGGGCTGTCTGAGTGTCCAGATACCTACTTGGGAATGTGTCACAGGCCTTGTCATGTGAGCGGCCCTGCTCCTGCGTGGGTTTGCTGCCTTGTGCGGTGGTGGGGTGAGCGCAAGGAGCCCGGGGTCAGGGCTGCCTGACTGGGGCCCGGGCAGACCTCAGCCCCGCCAGGTAAAGCCCTCCCGGCCGGCCGGTCCCATTTCCACAGAGGTTTCCAGGCTGCTCTCTGTGGGCACCATTAGCCGTCCCCTCGGGAGGAACTGCAGCTGAGGAGGGACAGAGACTCGAGTTGTCACTGTGGTCAGAAGCTAGGGCCAGAACCAGCACCCCCAGCCCTGCTTTCCAGTGTCTGAGCTGGGACGGCCAAGCAGGTGGCCTTGGAGATGCTGCCACGGCCTCACTCTGGGCTGTCAGGGGCCTCGGCAGCCAGGGGACGGGGACAAGCTGAACCTGTGTGGGGATTGCTCTCACTCCTGCCCTGCTCCTGCTCCAGCTGGACATGGGCCCTCCACGCCCCCTCGCACCTAGACATGCTGTCTATGTCCATTCCCCTTGGCACCAGCCAGCATTCCCTGGAGCCCCATTAGGCTGCTGGTGTCTCCGGGTGGCTGCTGAGGTGAGGCTGTGACATTACAGCCTGTCCTAAGTCACTGGGTCACGTGAGAGCCCGACACTCTGGGCAGGACACTCCGGAACAGCACAGCAGCCCCTCATCTCTGCCCTCCTGTGGGAGTGACCCTGAGGCACAGCTGGTGCCCCTTGGAGAGCACCCCCACCACCCAGGGAGCTTCCCAGGGGCTGCTGTTCAGTCTCCTGGGCTCCTCGCTGCAGAGTGGGCCCTTAGGACCGGGCTGTCAGGGCAAAGGCTGAGCTGGGCTGGAGAAATGAGGTGCAGCTAAAGAAAGGCTGAGGGGACCCACAAATGCCCCTGAGCATCTCCCTCAGCCGCCAGCAGCCCTGGGGCTGTGCAGAGAGCAGTGGCTCTGATACCGCTGGCTCCTGCCCCTGCCAGTGCCCTCCTGGGTTCCATAACCTTTGCCAGCACCCTGGGCTGCCTGGAGGGTGCTGGATATGGCCCCTATCCCCTGGGGGAGAAGGGCCCATGTGGGGCTGCGGTTTGCTTCGCAGTGGCTCTCAGCTTCCCCCTTCCCCAGGTGCCCCTCTCACGTGGATCCCTGGCCTCAGCCCGCCCAGGCAGGCTGGCACCAGGTGAGGCCGCCTTGCCAGCCCCTCCTCCCTGGCTTCTCTCTTCCTTCCGGGGCTTGGCTGAGCTGTGGCTGGAGGCAGCGCCTCTCTTTCCAGCCAGGCCCTCAGCAGCGGGCACTTCCCGGCTCTCTCTCTTCCACCAAGGACTCAGCCAGCGTCTCCTGCCATGGACAGGTGGTCCCTGGGTGAGTTCCCTAAGCCCCATCCCCCCCACCTCGTTACTCCCAGGTGTACCCACCAACCCCAGAAGCGCAGGAGGAGCAGAAACGAGGAGAGGCAGGATTTCTAAACAAGGACATCCCAGCGCCGAGTCCTGGGCTCACTGCGGTCCACGCTCCGAGCATCTCAGCTGCGAGTGCTGGCAAGAAAACTTGTCCATCAGCCTCCTTTTCTGTCTGTCTGTCCATCCATCTGCAGGAACTCTGAAGCCAGATGCTGAGTTCAAATCTCGGTTTCTCCACTTCCTAGCTGCCTGACTTCTGGCAGTTTAAATAAATTCTCTGTGCTTCAGTTTCTTCATCTATAACATGGGGGTGCTAAAGACTTCCTTTCCTCGTAGAATCATGATGGTTAATGATTTAATGTTTGTAAAGTGCTTAGAACAGCGCTTTGCACACAGAGCTAAAAAATGCGGTATCAACTTGCTTTTCCTAGTCCCCTTTTTGTCAGTATCATCTATCTATCTTCTATCTATCTATC